AACGTATTTCGTCCGGTACTGATTATTGCCATCGTCATTATCATCATCATCGACACCTTTCTATACAGGTATGGGTTCATAAGATTTCTCCGACTATACGGTATGGAACGAACGTTCGAGATACTCTTCCCTAACATGGGAATGACCACACGACAAGTTGTCTCCATAGCTCTCGGGGTACTCTCACTACTACTCATGTTTTCTGGCGCCATATTCAACGAAGAGAGCTGTACCATCGGACGAAAAGATCATTTCATCTCCTATGAAGACTTTGTGTACTTCCTCATCATAACCATGTCAACGGTAAGATATGAGCACTCAAACGTGACACTTTTACTGAACACTACCACTATATTCATCGAGCTCTTGATGCCTTTGACGAACAGATAATCGACTTGTTGTCTAATCATGATATTTCAGGTGGGGTACGGCGACTTTGCTCCAGTTACGTTCCGAGGTAGGATATTGGTACTCGTCTTCATCGCCCTCACGCTGAGCTTGGTCACATTTCAAGTAAAGAAGCTTATGTTTATTTTGGCGGAAGATCATATCCAGTAAGGCCTTCAACATCATCATGATGATATTGATATCGGTGACATCAGTAATGGTAATTATACTGATGATCTCGAATTAGTATCCATCATCATTTCCATCATCCATGATCATTTCCATTATCATTTCCATCATCATCATTATTATCATCATCATTATTATCATCATCGTTATTATCATCATCATCATCATCATCATGACCATCAGATACGGCGTTGTCCCTAACAGCTCCTCACATCACATCCTCATGGTATGTGACAGAGTAGACCTAGTACTAATACAAAGCCTCATCAAAGAGCTTTACTCCACTAAGTTCTACGAAGGGGCCCCGCCAGTGCTAGTCATTACTACCACCGATCTACCCCATGAACAGGTAAGAGGGGTCGACCTTCGTCGTACCTCAGCTACTCTAACTCGTTCCTCGTAGACTTGTAAAAAACTCAACGAGACGTGTACGGCCCTGGGCATCCATCTCTACATCAGAAGATTTGATTTCGCCTCGGCTTATCGTCCGGCATCACTCGAGAGCTCGACCTCGGGAGTCAACACTGGGTACACCAACAACTCAGCATCCTCATCGTCGAGCTCGAACAGCAAAACCAAATTCGTCGTTTATGCCGCCACGTTGGGGACAGCTAATACGCTCCCTGTAAGACTGGATCTGGCTGCGGCCATCTACGTGCTCACTCCGCCACCATCGTCGGGTCCCTCGGTGACCTCAACCATATGTTCTAATTCTCGCCTGTACTCGACCACGACATCGAGCGTCAACAGTCCTGATAGCTATGGCCTTATTGAGGACAAGATGACGCTTATACGTGTACTGTCGCTAGCGCGAATCTTCACACCTGCCACTGTAGGGCAACGAGGCATACTCTTTAGAGGAGAAATGATGGGAAGAGTGATAGTCGTCACCAATACGGTCGAGTATGAAAGATTGATAAAAGAACAAGGCGTTGGAGGGGTGCTGTGTACGGCTGAGTTCAGAGAGCAACTTATGGCGCGACACTGTGCTGGCATCAAGGGCTTTCCCGCGTTGATCGGGAATCTAGTTTCCAAATTCGACCGAATACCACCGCCACCATCGCAACAACAGCAAACGAGGAAGAAACGTGAAACATATAGTCGGCCCGAGTCCGATCCAATGTCACCTATAAGCCCGACGGTCTCGGAAATAGGAGCGAACAAAGGAGGTTTTCTGGGCGGGATGGCGCTGAGGGAGGAAGCCAGTGGTCTTGCTGACTACTCTAGAGGAGCTCAGTATAGGCTCATGGTCATACGGTGCCCACCTATAAGCAATGAAGAAGTGGAAAGGAAGGATCCGGCGTCAATGTCAACGGTGACATGTATGATACG